TTCCCCCCTCCCCCTACCCCCGAACAGCGGAGCGCCAGCAAGGCCTTCCAACGCCAGAAGGAGCTCTGGCGGCTCTTGGAGGCTGCTTCCGAAGGAGCTTCTGGAACGCTTGACGGCACACGTGCTGGGAAACAGCTAGAGAAAAAAGCCTGCAGGGACAGGCTGCGGCCTCGCACACGGCGCTGCGACGCTTCCTGCCATAAGCCGGAACGAGCTCTGGGGCCACAGTCGACCCGTATAATAAACTATCAGGACGCACGAGAAGGATGCAAGGGCCCTGGAAGGCCGTTTCGAAGCTTTCTGAGCGGGGCGCGGCCAACGAGAGTGGCCAAGTCTGGAGCGAGGAAGGAAGGATGCAAGGGTACCCTTTGGGAAGGTGGCCCATCCTTGCCCTGCGGGTTGCCTGCACCCTGCAGTGCTGCAAGGCCCGGCTGGCGCTCCGCTATCCGCGTGGCAGCGCGGCGGCGCGCTCCGGATCTTCCCCAGCAGGTGCGGGATCTGCCGGAGGCAATCCGGCAGCGCGACCTGGCGAGAGGCCACCCGCCACCGCCGCCCGCCGGCCGGCCGCCGCAACGGGCACAGAGGAGGAGGAGGAGGAGGAGGAGGAGGAGGAGGAGGAGGAGGAAAAGGAGGAGGAGGAGGAGAAAGGGGGAGGAGGACCAGTGTAAGCCCAAGAGGCTTCAACGATGTTGGAATACACCCTCCCCCCAAGCTCCCTCTTTATAGGCCACTACAACGGGTCATTTTTTATGGGGCGACTGCCTCGTTGGAAGACAACCGTTTGAAGACCCTGAAGCATGCCAAAACATTGTTCTCGGGATTCCAACGCCACGGATCAACCTGACTGTTGCGTCTTGACGATCCTGGGTCGTGCCAAAACGCCATTCTTGGGACTCGAACGCCGCGAATCAACATAACTTGTGCACCCTCTTAAACCTGAATCCTTCCAAGACACCATTTCTGGTATGTTGATCATGGGAACCCGTGAAACTCTGGCAAATGTATAGGACGAATGTGCGCGTCGCTAAAGCGAAAGCCACATTTTGAAAAATGGCCGTCCTCAATCCGTGAAGCTCTTGCACATTATGTAGGACGAATGTGCGCGGCGCTAGGGCGGGAGCCACATGTTGAAAAGGAACCGCCCTCAATCCGTGAAGCTCTTGCAAATTTGTAAGACGAATGTGCGCGGCGCTAGGGCGAGAGCCACATTTTGGAAACAACTCGCCGTCCATTCGTGAAACTCTTGCACATGTTTAAGACGAATGTGCGCGGCGCTACGGCGAGAGCCACATTTGGAAAGAGGAGGAGGAGGAGAAAGGAGGAGGAGGAGGAGGAGGAGGACCAGTGTAAACCCAAGGGCCATCAATGATGTTGGAGTAACCCTCCCTCCAAGCTCCCTCCCCATGGGCCTCTACAACGGTTCATTTCCATTGAGGGAACTGCCTCGTTGGAAGACAACCGTTTGAAGACCCTGAAGCATGCCAAAACATTGCCCTCGGGATTCCAACGTCACGGATCAACCTGATTGTTGATTCTTGACGATCCCGAATCTTCTCAGAACGTATTTCCAGGGACTTCAACGCAGAGAACTAACGTAACTGCTGCACCCGCATAATTCTGAATCCTTTCAAAGTACCAAATCTGGCACGTTGATGATGGAAACGCGTGAATAGCTTGCAAATGTTGTAAACCAATGTGCGCGGCGCTAAAGCGAAAGCCACATTTTGAAAACGTACCGCTCTAAATCCGCGAAACCGTTGCAAATGATTAAAACGAATGTGCGCGGCACTACGGCGAGAGCCACATTTTGAAAAACACCCATCCTCAATATGTGAAGCTCTTGCACATTTTGTAAGACGAATGTGCGCGGCGCTAGGGCGAGATCCACATGCTCAAAATCGCCCGCCCTCCATCCGTGAAGCCCTTGCAAATTTATAAGACGAATATGCGCGGCGCTGAAGCGAAAACCACACGTTGAAAACGAACCGCCCTCAATCCGTGAAACTCTTGCAAATTGTCAAAACGAATGTGCGCCGCGCTAAGGCGAGAGCCGCACTTTCAAGACCACCCGCCCTCCATCTGCGAAACTGTTGCCAACTTTCAGGCTTCAGAGTCATAAGTGGTGAGGAAGTCTCAAGCGAATCGCCCGGTCCGCCCTAAAAACTAGCTTCGGGTGAGACAGGGAGAAATAAAAAATGAGGAAAACGAATGGAGTGGAGCAGGAGGATGAAAATAATGGAGGAGCAAAAAGAGGATAGAGAAGGAGGGATGAAGATGATGATGATGATGATGATGATGATGATGATGATGATGATGATGATGATGATGATGATGATGATGATGATGATGATGATGATGATGACGCTGAGTATGATGATGCTGATGATGATGTGGATGATGCTGATGATGCTGTCGATGATGATGGTGGTAAGGATGATAATTCTGATGGTGGTGATACCAATGATGAAAGTTATGATGATGATGCGGATGACGACAGTGATGATGGCGATGATGATGCTGCTGATGATGAAAATGCAAGTGATGGTGACGGTGATGGTGATGGTGATGGTGATGGTGATGGTGATGGTGATGATGATGATGGTGACGGTAATGATGGCGGTGGTGATGGTGATGGTGATGATGATGCTGCTACTGATGATGATGGTGCTGACGATGATGATAACGAGGAGGAAGAGGGGGGAGGAGGACGAGGAAGATGATGATGATGAGGCGGAGGAGGAGGAGGAGGAGGACGAGGAGGACTGGGAGAAGGAGGACGAGGAGGAGGTGAAGGAGGAGAAGGAAGAGGAGGAGGAGGAGGAGGAGGAGGAGGAGGAGGGAGGAGGAGGTATGAGGAAGACGAAGAGGAAGATGAGGAGGAACAAAACTTGGCCCATACACCCTGGTCGAGGGTTCACAAACCCCTTCACAGATGGGATGGGCCCCAGGGTTCCACAAGCCCCCTCCAGATGGGATGGGGGGGCGACGACGACGACGACAACGACGACGAGGACGAGGACGAGGACGAGGACGAGGACGACGACGACGACGACGACGACGCCGACGACACGACGACGCCGCCGCCGCCGCCGCATCCGACGCCGGCGCCGACGCCGACGCCGACGGAAGACGACGACGGCGAACCACCCCACACCCACAGGGGGTCATTATCATCGCCATCATCACCATCATCGTCATCCCCAGCAGCAGCAACACCGTCCTCAGCAGCCCTTTGGCGCATCATCGCGATGCCAAACATAAAGTCACGCTTGCACCAAATAGTGTTTTGCATTGGTTTCTCAGGCGGAAAGCTTGTCGAGGGACCTCTCTGTGAGAGCGGCTCCTGCAATGCCTCTGGTGCCAGTTGTTCTCCTGAGGCTCGTAAGGACCACTCGCAATACCCATCAATGTCACGACTGTCTCCTTCCCTTTCGCCTGCTCCGCCTCCTCCAAGACGAGCGCTGGTGCTGCCGATCACTTTTCTCGGATGACAGATTGCACGACCCAGCGCGTTCAAACATTGGTTGTTGGCCTAACCCCAGGACTAGAAGGTCAAAGAGAGGGAGTAGGAGATGGAGGAAGATAGAGATGAGAAGATTACGAGACGGAAAACGGGAGGCAAGGAGAGAGTTTGTTCAGGGAGGCAGGGAGAAAGAGGGAGGCAGGGAGGGGGAGGGAAACGAGGAGGACAGAGGGGAGGGTAACGAGGTGGGTTGCACTTCCTCGGAACAAAACGTCCAGCCTCGCTGTTCCTCCTCTGGAGCAGCAATCGATTATGTAAAGAATGACCCTCCGGAGGTCAACGCGAATACATATTGGATTGGGCACGCCTGCGCACGCCGCCTTGCGGCAACGCTACAGCTAAGGCCTGCGCAGGGGGGCGCGGGGCAGTGCCCCCCGCCTGCACGGCCCTGCCCAAAACTGCACAACGGCAGCCGGGATGAAACACGGCTCACCCAAGGCTCGCCCCTCAGGGCTGCCGGCTGCCGCGCCGCGGAAGGACGCGCAGCGCGGCAACCGCCCCAGTCCCCAGCGCCCGCCCGGGACAGGTCGGGGGCAGGCAGCGTCGCGCAGAGACGCAGAGCCCACCCTGCCCCGGCGCGCGAGGCGCGCCAGGGGCCCGCGACGAAGGCGCCGCGCGGCGGGCCGCCGCCCCGAGAACTCTGCGCGGGCCTCCGAGAAGTGTGTAGCTTGTGGGGGCACCAAGAGGGGCCGCGAGCGAGGGAGAGGAAGGTTCGAACTTCGAGGTTCGAGGTTCGAGGCGGTTTTTCCTCGTTTTCGGCCCCTGGGGCCCGTTTTCGGGCCCCGGGGCCCCCGAAACTCGATCCGGGGGGGGGGGGGAACCACGTCGGATGGACCCCGGGAAGGGTCTGGGGACCGATTTTGACCGATATTCGGCAGCACGCCCGGGGAGGGGGATGGAAGTGAGAAGGAGAAGGCCTTTCCAGAAGGCGGTGGGACTTCTCAGGAGCCCTCGCGCCTCCTGAGGTGTTTTGTTGCGTCTTCCAGGCAGGCTAGGAAAACTTCTCAGAAAGCCGGGAGACTTCCGAGCCTTCTGAGGAGGCCCGCCCCTTCTCACTTCCCCCCTGGGCTCGCCGCCGACTAATGGGGCCGATACCACTTCTCCACGGACCTCCCGATATGCGTTCTGACCCAGGAGGCCGACGAAAGGCGAGACCGAGGGAAGGGCACCGGTCGGGGACACCCTCTCCTCCTCTGACGACTGTGCCGCCCGTTCTGCTCCGGCCCTCCCCCCCTGTCGCTTGTGCGGGCAGACCTCCAGCTGCATGACGGGGATGTCCCCGCTGAGCTTCCCTGGCGACAGCCCCTTGGGCGAGAAGAAGGCGAAGGAGTAGTCCACCACGCAGAGGATCAGGCACGCGGCCTCGGCCGCGAAAGGGCCAGGCCCGGCCTGGACTGGACGGAAGTCCTCCTGCTCCTCCTCCTCCTCCTCCTCCTCCTCCTCCTCCTCCTCATCCTCCTCCTCCTCCTCCTCCTCTTCTGTAGTCTACCATGCAGAGGATCAGGCACGCGGCCTCGGCCGCGAAGGCCCGGGCCGGGCCGGGACTGGACGGAAGGATACACGGGGCACATATACGATGAGAAGCCTTGCTACAGTAGGAGCTCGACCACAAGAAACCTTCCACTAGAAACCCCAGCCTGAGACCCCAGGACGTCCATGGAAACTTGGTGTGGACACGCCACGCTTTCCACAGCAAAACTATCGAAACCCAAGAAACCGAGGGGACCCTGGAGACAAGCAGGGCGTTTCTTGGCATGGGTCTCCATTGTATGGAAAATCTTGGGACACGTTCGTCTCCGATCTCTGAAGGCCCCGCAGGCCTCAGCAACAACACACCGGCACGCCGTTCAAGATCGTGGCGCTCGATGATTCGGACGCTTGTCGGGGAGCGCGCTCTTCAGTGACGAGAGGGGGCCGCCAGATTTCATGCCAGCATTGGGGCAACCCCGACCACACGCCACTAGGTGATAAGAGATGTCCGTGGAGTTGCCTGCTGGCAGGCCGATTTCTCAGCTGGTGCGGCCGCTGCAAGGGTCCGTACATGGACAAAAGTTCGAACCCTCCGGCGCAAGATCCCCCCCTCCCGGAACCCCAAAATTGATGTTGAGGGTGCGGCGATCGAGAGGGCACGGGTGGACAGAAATACTCGAACCACCATACGAATATCACAAAGCATCAAATGTTCATCAACTCCGATCAGCGGGCCCTTCGCGCGCGCATGTCGAGATTATTCGAACGCCCTTGCGTGCTTGCTGGGGGGTGGGACGATCCCTGTCAAATAGTTCCATGCGGGCCACTCGCGGCCATCAGCCGCGCACGCGTGTGGAAATCCTTTCTAAACCTGCATCACCGACACGTGGACACCATCTTCATCGGAGTGATCAACATCGGCGCAGTCATTGGCCATGCTGACTTCATCGTCATCATCGCCACTAGCATCGCTACTATCATCATCGTGTCTGCCGTTGTCGACGTCGCCATGATCACGCGACCGTCCGAGCCACCGCCTCGCACTGAAGTGCCCGCGCGTCCGCGGTTCCCAAGCGTCCCCCAGCCAATCTCGGCACGCCCATCCCACCCTATAGGGAACCACAGAAGGCCCCAGTGGCAGGGTTCCCAGGCGCCCCCCAGCCCATTTCAGCACCCGCACGGCCCATGGGAGCTCCACCGAAGGCCCCAGCGGCAGGGTTCCCATGCGTCTCCCAGCCCATGTCGGCACGCCCCTCACACCTAAATGGGAGCTCCGAAGGCCCCAGTGGCAGGGTTCCCATGCGTCTCCCAGCAAATTTCGGCACGCCACTCACGCCCCATGGGATCCCATGGGAGTTCCACCGAAGGCCCGTGTGGCAGGGCTCGCATGCGTCTCCCAGCCCATGTCGGGCGCGCCCCCCACGCCCCATGGGAAGCTCCACCGAAGGCCCCAGTGGCAGGGTTCCCAGGCGCCCCCCAGCCCATGTCGGCACGCCCCCCCGCGAGCTTCGTGGCCCCATGCAGGGCGGAGGGAGGGCCGAGCCGCCCCCCCCGCTCTGGCGGGCGGGGAAGCTTCCAGGATGGGCGGTACATTATTGCACCCGAGAAAACCCCATCAGTGGATGATTTGAAAGTTAGTCATATGGATCTTGAGATCGATTGTGAGATCGATGATGAGATCGATAGTGGATAGTGGACGATTGCAGAGTCGATCGTGAGACCGAGAGTAAAATCGATTCAATGAGATCGATAGGGAGATCGATCGCGAGATCGCTCGTGCGATCTCTAGTGAGATCGCTTGCGAGATCGATTGTGAGATCGATTGTGAGATCGATGGTGAGATCGATAGAGAGGTGGGAAATGAGATCGATGCTGAGACCGATCGATAAGAAGATCGACCAAGAACCCGGGAACCTGGGAACCTCGCCGCACACCGAAATCGGCCCGGGAACCGGGAACCAGGGAACCAGGGAACCCGGAACCGGGAACCCGAGAACCCAGCGTGCGACCAAAATCGGCGGGAAACTTTTGCCAACTCCTTCAACCTCCGCTAGGACCCCTTCAGTGCAAGCACTGATTGAGGGAGAAAAAAAGCCTCCGCCCCTGCGGGTGGCCCACCCAGAGGATGGAACACTTCTGCTCTGAAGGTCAAGCCTCCTCCGCCCCGTCTCCTGGAGGGAAGACAAAAAAAGCCTAGGAGGGGCCTTTTCTGGAGGGAGAAAAACAAGCTCAGGAGGGAGCTAAGAGGCCTCCAGGAGAGAGGCCGAACCTGCACTCTAAACGCATTAGTGTTTGTGTTGTTTTTGCTCCTGACTGTTATGCTCCATTGTCGTGTTCTGTTGTGTGTTGGCTGCACCCTAAAGGTGCTCTGATCCTCCGAGCAGGCGCGCGGCGCCCGGTCCGGGCGGCGGGCAAAGTGGTCCATCACGTCCATGAAGAGGGCGTACTCGTTCGAGGCGCTGTCGGGCGTGGGCTGCAGCAGCTTCAGGCGCCCGATCAGCTGGGCGCTGGCGGCGTGGGGGCCCGCCGCTTCCAGGGGGAGGGCTCGCTGGCGGAGAAGCGGGGAGCGGAGGAGGAGGAGGAGGAGCGCCAGTACTTTCCATGTCTGTTGATGGGCTCAGCCTCGACGCCTGGGCCTGAGCCACCCGTATGGCCTGGGCTCCTGAGGCGGAGGAGGGAGAATCGTGTAATAGTCGGGCATATTCGAGGGAGCGGCATGTAGCATTTCGAACTGCTGAGGAATCGGATGAGGAGGAGGAGGAGGAGGAGGAGGAAGAGAAGGACCATAGTAAACCCAGGATGCGTCAACCATGCTGCAACACACCGTCCCATTCCAGGTTCCCTCTGCACGAGTCCCTGCGAGCCTGCCCAGTCGCTCCAAGAAGTGGCCTTATTGACCGGCGAGAGCGCTGCGGGCCTGCCATCCAGATGAGAGAGCAAGTGTTGAGAAGGAGCTGCTCTGCATGGTTCCAGGTAGGTCTGAGAGACGCAAGAAGGTAGGACCGTGAAGTTCAACGAAGCATCCAGGGGGAGCCCCGCTCTGAAAAGGAGCCGCCCTCACCTGTGCAACCGCTGCCCAAAGATGCTCTCCTGGACATACGATGTGAAGACACCTCACGCGACAACCCCATGTCGAAACAGAGTAGGCCTCCATCCATGCAGCTATTGCATTTCAGGAGCCCTTGGAAGTCCACAGCGAGGGGCACGTGCTTAAAAGGAAACCGTCCACCATCCCTGAGCACTGAAGCAGCACATAAGATTCATGCGCGCGGAGCTCGGAAGAGAGCCTGTAAAACGTAAGGCGACTGCGTGTGGCATGAATACAAGATTACACGAGGAGCCGTCCTCCACCCGAGCCAGCTGTGAGCTTTGAGGGCGTATGTGCGCGGCGCCAAGACGAGAGCCCCGCGGTGGAAAAGAACCACCCGGCGTTCTTGCAGCTGCTACCAACGTTTGCAGCGAACATGAGCGGCGTTAAGTTACCGCCCTCCAGCCGTGTGGCTGCTGCATAATGTTACACAAGTATGGCGATAAGCGCAAGGAGGTCTCAAGCGATAGCTCCATCTTGAAGAAACGCCCTCACTCGTGAGGAACATGGCTGGCGGAGGAAGAAGACGACGACGACGCCAACGACGCCGACGCCGACGTCGATCGACGCCGACGCCGACGACAGCGATGACGACGTCGACGACGACGACGACGACAGCGACGACGACAGCGACGACGACGACGACGACGACGACGACGACGTCTTCGTCCAGGCCGCCGCCGCCGCGCTCGCGCCAGCGAGCGCCTCGGCCCCCGTTGGCGCCCACGCGACCGCGTGGCGGCGCCCGCCCGCCCGCCCGATCCGCTCTCTCTGGCCGCTCCGAGGAGGGAGGAGGACGAGGGCGAGGGCGACGACGACGACGACGACGACGACGACGAAGACGACGAGGGCGAGGAGGGCGACGACGACGACGACGACGAGGGCGCGAAGACGAGGGCGAGGATGACGACGAGGAGGGCGGCGACGACGACAAGGGCGAGGAGGAGAAGGACGACGACAACAACAACGACGACGACGAGGGCGAGGAGGACGACGAGGACGAGGGCGAGAAGGACGACGACGACGAGGGCGAGTCGGCGGGGCAGGCATTGCAAGGGACAGAGCCAGACAACCCCCCGCCCTTCCGAGACGACCCCTGTCGTGCCCGTCCGAGAGGCGTGCATGCGGCTGGAGGGGCTGGGAGACACTGTCGAGGCGGGGTCCGATTACCCTGGGGGACAAGCCCTCGCTGAGTGAAGGACTGAGCGGGGGTGGAAGTCCTTGTGCGCTGGCCCTGCTTGCAGGACTGGGGCTAATTACACCTACAGGGGCGGTCGTCTCGCACTTCCCTTCCACAGCATCATCCTCATCATCATCATCATCATCATCATCATCATCATCATCATCATCATCATCATCATCATCAGCATCAGCATCAGCATCATCATCATCATCATCAGCATCAGCATCAGCATCAGCATCATCATCATCATCATCATCATCATCATCATCATCATCATCATCATCATCATCATCATCATCATCATCATCATCATCATCATCATCAATTAAATCCCCCCCATCATCATCATCATCATCATCACCACCATCATCATCACCACCACCACCACCACCATCATCATCATCATCAGCATCATCACCACCACCACCATCATCATCAGCATCATCAGCATCATCATCACCACCACCACAATCATCATCATCATCAGCATCATCACCACCACCATCATCATTAACATCATCATCATCACCACCACCATCATCACCACCACCATCATCAGCATCAGCATCAGCATCATCATCATCCTCTTCCTCTTCCTCTTCCTCCTCAGCCTCCTTCTCTTCCTCAGCCTTCCTTCCCTTCCTTCCTTCTTTCCATCCCTCCCTCCATCCATCCATCCATCTCTCTCTCTCTCTCTTTCTCTCTCTTTCTCTCCTCCGACTCCCCTCAGAGGGTGCCGCCACGCACGGCCCCCTCGCACGGCCCGCGCTGCCGCGCCCGCCTCGCACGGCCGCCACCGCGGCCCCCACGAGCAGACCTCGCGCTCTCCTTCCCTCGGCGCTCCGCTTGCGGGAGCGAATGGCCACGAGGACTGGACACGCCAACGCTCCGACTCCAGGCGGCGCACTGGGCGCCTTGCGCGGCTCTGGCTGCCAGCCGCCCTGTCATTACGTCTCTCTTCGGGGGGGCAGATGCAAGACAAGATTGGGCCCCCGGCGTGGTTCAAAGATGGGGTCCTGAGGGCCGGGGCTTCAAGAATTGGGAAGAGTTCCCAGGGTGGACTTTACACTGCTTGATGCACCTCGCCTTCGTGACCCCATCCCTCAGGTCCCCACCTTTCTGGGGAAAATAGAAGGTAGCGATACCGCTGCTCCCCGGACCTCTCCCGGGATGCGTTCTGACCCGGATGGCGGGGCGAATCAGCGGTGGCGACGAGGGCGTCCAAGGAGGCCCACGGCAAGGGGAAAACGAGGAGAAGGTGAGGGGTATGGGTACCGCTTCCTCCTCTAAGAACCACCGATCTCTCTCTGTTCCTCTCTGCCTTGGCCGCCGCGCCCGCTGCTCTGCGGAGGGCGCAGGCGCCCAGGGCCCCCGAGGCCCACCTCGGGAGGCCCGGCCGCCCCCCGCGCCGCCGAGAGGTGCGCTGCCCGAGGTACGTACACTGCCCGAGGGGCGCTCTCCGGCCGCAGCCCTCGCCGCGGGACGCCGGCCGCGTGCCCACGCGGCAGGGCTCCGAGCCCGAGGGGCGCAGGGCGCGCCACGGGCAGAAGAACAAGCGGCACTGGCATGGAAAGACTTGTGGCGCTCCGCGCGGGCCTCTTGGATATCCGCGCTGGGCCCCCCTCCCTGGCGCGCGGAGCCCAGCGCGGATATATCCAAGAAGCCCGCGCGGAGCGCCAGAAGTTTTTATGCTTGTGCCGCTTCGTGTTCTTCGAGTCGTGGAGGACCGGCGCCTCCTCAGCGCCCCCGCCGGGCTCGGCTCTGCGCCGGGCCCGGCGGGCATCCCGCGCGGTCGGCCTGGCAGGCGGCGCGCGCCGTGGCCATCCTCCCTGCTCGGCGGCACGCGCGCGTCGTGGCCAGCTCGTGGCGCGCCGTGGCCGTCTCCGCATGGCTGGCGTTGTGGATGCCAGGACAATCGATCCAAACATGTTGAAAACATGTTTAAAACATGTTCCATACATACAAATGTTTAATCATCTGTATTTGTTTGGCAACATGCTTCCTCTCCATTGATCGTCGTCCACAAGGCTGGCGCACCCCGGCGCGGCACGTCCTGGCGCGCCCTGGCGCGGCACGTCCTGGCGGCGCACCCTGGCGGGGCACCGGCCCTGAGGCTGCCGCTGCTGTGTCCGCGCGGGCAAGAAGTGCCCAGTGGCCCGGGGGCAGGGCAACCACTGCACGCGGCCAGGGAAGACTCGGCCATAGGCCGAGATCCGGCCAAGCTGAGATCTGGCAGGGCTGGAGTCGGAAGGGCTGGTCTCGGCCAGGCCGGAGTCGGCCGGGCTAAAGTCGACCTGGGCCGAGTACAGCCTGGCCAAATTTCAGCCTGGCCGAGCTTGCCGTGCGGGTCCGTCGTGCGAATCTGCCGTGCTAATCTGCCGTGCCAGCCTGCCGTGCTCGTCTGCTGATCTGCCGTGCTGGTCTGCCGTGCTGGTCAGCCGTGCTAGTCTGCCGTGCTGGTCTGCCGCGCTGGTCTGCCGTGCTGGTCTCCGAAACCGATATCAGAAAAATGTCGACAACATTTCAGATTCTTGAGGATGTCCCCAGCGGAATGACCGGTGTTAAAAAAGACGTCGAAGCGTTCAGCCGTGTTAGTCTGCCAAGCTCCTCCAATGTTTCTGAAGATGCTTGCGGCGAGAGCGTCGTTTTCAGCATGAGAGATAGCGCAGCAGCTTGCGAGGGTATCTCAATCGAAACGCGCAGTTTCGAAGATTCGTAAACTTCACAACTTTCCATGTTCGGATGATTTCTCAGGCGAAACGCTTGTTACCTAACAGCGAAGACTGATAGGTTTCTAGTTGACTCAAACGAGCTCACAGATCACTCCACAGGGGGGTCCGGGCAGGTGTTGGGAGTTGCCGGGCGGCAGGTGCCGGGCTCGTTTTTCGCCAACAGTCACACACTTCGTGCTCTTCGATTTCCCAGAACTCCATTCCCAGGCCACATTCTGGAGGGCCGAATGCAACAGTCACACACTTCGTGCTCTTCGAGTTCCCAGAACTCCATTCCCGGGCCACATTCTGGAGGGCCGGATGCAACAGTCACACACTTCGTGCTCTTCGAGTTCCCAGAACTCCATTCCCGGGCCACATTCTGGAGGGCCGGATGCAACAGTCACACACTTCGTGCTCTTCGAGTTCCCAGAACTCCATTCCCGGGCCACATTTTGGATGCCCGGAGCCAACTGTAGGCCACTTCGTGGTCTTCGAGTTCCCAGAACTCCATTCCCGGGCCAT